CTAATCAATATTTTGAAGAAAGCATTGGTCATTATTCTAAAAAAAATAATGCTAATGGTGCTGAATATAGATGTTGCAGTCTATATTTTATCTCTCATAATCATCTATATGTACTGATGAATATTTTTTTTTTCCTTGTAGGTTTTAATGGTGCACTCACAAGAAGCTAGATTTTTGTGTTCCCAAGTGTTCCCACATTGCTTTGGCATTCTAAAGAATCTTTCAATTTTTAAAATTTGTGTGTGATATGATTATCAAGTAGTTTAATTGTGAAAATCACTAGAGACCATTTCATTTTATTTTTCATGTTGTGCTAGTTTTTATCGTGTGAAAGAGAACAATTGAATTTGTTGTGCATCTTTATTCGGAAAAAAAGATGTGACTTGTGAATTAATTATGTCTGTCCATTTTAATTCACATTTAAATGGTATTCATCATCAATCATGTGATCTGCTGATTGAATTATTTGTACTATTTGTTACAGGATTAAATCCCTAGTTTCTATGTACAAGAAAAGAAAATTTAAATGGTATTCTAATTCTGTTTTCATTAAAAAATGGAGACAGTATAAGGTTTAATTTAAGCTTTATTGAGTATGATTGTAGTTATTGATTTTTTATTTTAATTTTTATATATTTTACAACTCTAAACAAAAAACTCATTTTAGTTGAGGCTTTGCAACATATTTTTAGAGAAATAAAAATAAAAATAGTTTTACTGCTATTAAACAAATTCATATTTTAGTTGTTACTGTTAAAATTTGTTTTAAACAAATTTTTAATTTTAGTTTTCAATAGTTGTAAAAATTATGAAAACCAAAACTAAAATTCAAAAACCGTAACAATACTAAATAAAATCATAATCTTCCATTTTTCTCAAATCAAATATACTCTTTAAATGAAGCATGCATTAATTCAAAATATCATTGTTTTTCTTAGTTTTATAGATTTCTCATATCCCTTTGTTAAACAACTCTCAATTTCACACACAGAGCAAACCACATTTTTCAATATCTATTTACCCTTTTGATTGAGAATTATGAGATTACTAGTGTCAGTACTCCATACGAGGCTTTTATATTTTTTTCCCTTTTCGATGGATCCGATCGGAGGTTAGCATTTGGGTGTTGTTCGAGCTTGATACTCTTCATATTATATCATAGATGGAGTACCAGGTGGTTTCCCTCGACCATGAGCGTCTCTGAAAAGGGGACATTACAGCCAGTTCAAACAACAGTTTACTCAGATAATAAAGACATGGAATTATGCTGATATTGTTGAGGTTGTAGATGACATGCACACATTACTTCATAGCAAATCATGCTTTCCAAATTGTTTATAGTTCGGGACACAAGACCAGGATGAGACCGAGTTGTAAATGGGCATCTAAAAAGAGTGCTGAAGAACCTGAATATTTCCCTTGATCCTTGTTAGTTCTTTTGTAATACTAAGTTTAAATCTAACGGAGTAAGTG